CCAGAGGGCAGGGAGAGATGGGATATTTTGAAGGAATTCCTGGCTGTGAGGGTGGGCAGGCCCTGGCACAGGTTGGGCAGAGAAGCTGTGGCTGCCCCTGGATCCCTGGAAGTGCCCAAGGAGCAACCTGTGCCAGTGGAAGGTGTCCCTGCCCATGGCAGGGGGTGGATCTGGATGGACTTTGAGGGTTCCTCCAACCTAAACCATTCTGGGATTCTCTGATTCCAGGAGAGCAGAACTGGGAGCTGCTGGGCAGGTCCCTGGGTTAGCCCTGCAGAGTGTCCAAGGGGGCTGGGTCAGGGATGCTCATCCCAGGGCCCAGCACTGCCCACCCGGGTTTCAGGAGGGATGCCCACCCTCAGTACAGCAAATGGGACAGGGAAGGTGCTCCCTGGTGTCTGTGCCACCCTCCTGGCACAGCCAGAGTGGGATTCAGCTCTCCCATCCTTGGCACAGGGGTTAAGAAGGATTGGGAAAAGTGCCTGGATTAATGGGGTGGGTCTGAAGATGGTGAAGATGCCACAGCCAAGGGGTGATTTGAGGGGACAGGTGAGCTCCTTCCCACTTGAAAAATCCCATTTTCCTCCAGCCCTGGGCTGAGCCCCCTAGGCTGAGCTCCACAGCTCCTGTCCCCAGGGGCAGCCCCCGTGTCCCCTCCTAGCACAGCCCCCCCCCAGGGACTGTCACAGCCTCACCTGCTTCGATTTCCTGCTGGAGCCCAAATCCTTGCAGGCAGCACTTTGGGGCGAGCAGGATCCCACCCCCAGCTAATGAATGTGATTTGCTGCGAAGGGAACTTCTGGGGCCGATCGATGAACGAGAAGGTGTTTAATTAAGTGAGAGCCCTAAAACTCATGGCATTGATCGGCTGCAGGTTTATCTTAATTAGCAGTGGGAGGGTGTGTCTGGATCCCGGCCCTGCACCCACAGGAGCACCAGTGGAGCTGGGAGGGGAGAGAGGGGTGTTAATGAGGGTGGGGGTGTAATTAGCAGGGGGAATCCCCCTTCCAGGAGGAGGGCAGGCTGGGGGGGGATGCTCTGAGCTCCACAAGGCACTTAGGTTTGGGGTGATTGGGTGCTGCTGATCCCCAGTTTACTGGGAATTGTCCTGGGATGCCTCTTGCTGTGTTTGGGGTGACACTGAACCAGAGCCAGGGGCCTCTGTCACCATCGACTGGTGGGGGCTGCACACAGAGCTGAGGTGTCTTGAAGTTCCCCTGGGGACATTTCATCCCCAAAAGGTCAGTGAGGATGCTCCAGGTGCCTGGACCAGCCCAGGGAGCTCAGCTTGGGGCAAGGCAGGAGCATCACTGAGCTGAGGGTTCTCTCTTTCTCTCTCTGTCCCATGCAGGGATCACCAAACCCGGGCCCCTCTTCCCCTGGAGGCTGTGCCTCAGTTTCCCTGCCCAGGAAGCAGTTCCTAAGCTGCAGGGATGCCCTGGGGATGCCCTTGGCAGTGGCAGGAGGTGAGAGCTGGGGAGTTGCAGCCTGACTGCCTTTGTGCTCTTGTCTCTCTGTTCCCCTTAACCCCAAACAGCACCTGACCAGGCTGCAAAAAAACGTGATTTGCTCTTCCTAAGGAGGGAATAAGCTGGAATAACACATCCACAGAGCACTGGGGAGGTCCAGCAGAGCTTTTCAGTGCAATCAGCAGCCCCTGCTTGTCCATGGGGGTAACTTGGGTTTGCCTCTGACTTTGCTTCCCCTTGGACTGAAGGAGGATTTGGTTCCACCAGGCTCTACCAGCTCCTTCTCCTTCAGGAGAAGGAGGAATTGAGACAGGCTGGAATTAAGGAGTTGCACGGGTGTAAAGCCATCACTCCAGCTCCGTGGGATGCTCCCAGAGGCTCTTCCCAGCCCCATCCCTCAGCTCGGAGCACCCCCCCCTCCCCATACTCAAAACTCCCCCCCAGCTCCCTCTGAGCTGCTCTGTCTGCAGCCCCCAGATCGATGGGTGGCTGTGAAGCCCCGAGCACGGCACTCCCTGCATCATTTATTATTTACAGCCCTCAGTTTAAAAGATTTACAGCCCAGCTTTAAGTATTTCCAAAGGCTGTTTCCTCGGAGGGTTTAAACAGCGTGGAAGTGAATTAAAGCCTCGGTGCAAAGAGTTTTGTCCCGGGTCCAGGGGCTCCCTGGGCTCTGCTGCTCCACCTTTGATTGAATCCAGCCCATCCCATCCCAGGGATAGGGGTTGGGAACGGGATACCACGGTCCCAGGATGGAGCTGGGATGAGAGAGATGTTAAATAGAGCCCCCACAAAGCCAGTTCAGTCGGTGCTTGATGGGTGGGGAGACTGAGGGGGTTGCACACCCAGAGGCCACAGCCACGCTCTGTCCTCCTGAAACACTCAGGGAAGCACTTTTACCACCTCATTTATTCCCCCCCCTGTAATTAGGACACATTAAGTCGGGCTGGGCAGGCAGGGATGCTGCCTGGGGACCCC